CGAAACAACCCCAAAACATCACTGATCCTCTACCAAATTTAACTGTAGGTTGAATACAATCTTGATTATAAGCTTCTCCAGGACTCCTCTAAACCCTTACATGATCATCTGATTCAAAAAGAACAAACCTGGACTCATCCTACCATACCATTTGCTTCCATTTCTCTTTTCAGTTACATTTTTCCTTGCATCATTTAAGTCTGTTTTTTCATTGTTTCAGTTAAACAAGGTTTTTTATGAGTAGTATAACTACCCAAACCTTCATCATAAATGTATTTTCTAATAGTATTATAATGAACTGTGGTGTTAAGTCTGAAATTTAAACTATCTGTTATATTACTAAGAGGAGCAAACTGATTGTCATAGATAATGCGTTGTAAAACTTGATTATCCCGTTTAGTAAGCATTTTTGGACAGCTGAGACGTTTCTTAGGTTTTGCGAAACCAGTTTCATTATATCGTTTAATTGTATCATTTACTGTACTGGGGAGAATATTTAGTTGAGCTGAAATAATCGTTTGTTTAGTGCCACTAAGATATGCATCAATAATTCTTTCACATTGTATATTTGATAACTCGTTTCCTCGCATTTTGACAATAGAAGAGTGATAAAAAATAATTTTTTTTTCGCGATTGTATTTTTATATGTACAATGGGACAAAAACGCTAATTGTGAAACTGATGTACTAAATCATATGACTAAAATCCGATAATTTAGTATAGTGCAGTGTATAATCATGGAGTAGTATCTTGCTCCATTATAAATTGCATTAGAGGTTTATAAAAGTGCTTGGCAAAGTTGACTAAGCATTTAACTTGAATATTTAATTTGAGATCAGAAAGCCAGATTTTAAAAAGATACTAATCATTGAGATAAGATTTAGGCGTTTTTTTATACTTTTCCAATTTTTCAATAAACCAATGTGCAAATTCAATACGGGCAGAATAATGATCAAGATATTGTTTGGCTATTTGTAATTTATAACCCCAATGAAAATGGAGAGGTAATTGATACTGATTATAGTGAAATCCTAACAACCCATCATATAACTCTTGAATAATATAAGCATTAATATTGAGTGGTTTATTCTTGTCACTTGAATTATAGCCATTATGTAACTTCCAAGCTAAGTAAAGTAAATTGTATATGTGAGGTTTTCTTGAGAAACCAGTGCTATTTGAAATTGTTCCAAATGCTTCTTGTTCAAAGTTATTTAATATAATTTGAATTATGTGAAGTACACATCCAATTTGAATTGAATTTATGTCATTTTTTTATTAAAGAGAATAACAGCTCCTTTCTTTTTTCCTGACATATAGGCTGTGTTATCTGTTACCCATAATGCACATTTATCAAAAGACAAACCATCTTGTTATATAAACTTTGTAATAGTATTAGATACAGTATTTGTATTACAACTAGGAATATCCTCAAGATGAGATACAGTTACAACAGGTACTTGATCCTTTTGATTCCAAAACTAATAACATAAAACAAAGTACTTTGCTTTACCTCATGTAGATTCGTCAACTAAGACTCCAAATGATGGTGCCATAATTGCCTGATGAATTTGAGCATTAGTATGTAATGTAGAAATATCTTGCTGCCAAGTGCACAATGTTGATAATGTTATCCAATTTTGTGGTGGCTCTCCAATTAGAAATTCATAAATTACTTGCATACATTCTACTGTAGAACGTAATGATATCTGACCAATTTGCGAAATACTGGTTGCAAGCCAAA